TGGCATGGGATGAGATGGGATGGGATTGATGGGATGGGATGGGATGGATTGGGATGGGATGGGATGGGTTGGGATGGGATGGGACAGGATGGGACGGGACGGGACAGGATGGGATGGGACGGGATGGATTGGGATGAGATGGGATTGATGGGATGGATGGGATGGGATGGATTGGGATGGGATGGGATGGGATCCCCCCCATTGTGCCCCCTCCCTGTGCCCCATTCCCACTCCAGACCCTGGACAGCAAGGACTGTGTGTCCCCCAATGAGTGAGGGAGCTGGGAACATCCCAAATCCTTGGGATGGGATGGGCTGGAACACCCCAAATCTTTGGGATGGGCTGGGACACCCCAAATCCTTGGGATGGGCTGGAATGCCCGAAAACCCTGGGATGGGCTGGGACACCCCAAATCCCTGGGATGGGCTGGGACACCCCAAATCCTTGGGATGGGCTGGAACACCCCAAATCTCTGGGATGGGCTGGAACACCCGAAATCCTTGGGATGGGCTGGAACGCCCCAAATCCTTGGGATGGGCTGGGACACCCCAAATCCTTGGGATGGGCTGGGACACCCCAAACCCCCGGGATGCCCTGGAACCCCCCAACACCCCATTTTAGGTACACGGCCGCCTGTTCCCGGCTGCTGGTGCAGTTCAAGGCCGCCCTGAAGCAGGTGCAGGGCTCCGAGATCAGCTCCATCGACGACTTCTGCCGCAAGTTCCGGGTGAGCCCACGGCCCCCGGGATCCCCCTTCGGAATTCCGGGCATGGAAAGAGGCCTCCGTGTCCCATTCCCTGTCCCCTGCCCCCAGCTGGACTGTCCCCTGGCCATGGAGAGGATCAAGGAGGACAGACCCATCACCATCAAGGACGACAAGGGAAACCTCAACCGCTGCATCGCCGACATCGTCTCCGTACGGAGCCAGGGGGAGCCGGGGGGTGGGAATGGAGGGGGATGATCCCGGGGATCCCATCCCGGTGATCCCATCCCGGCGATCCCGTCCCACTGATCCCATCCCAGTGATGTGATCTGACCCAGGTGATCCCACCCCGGTGATCCCAATCCCAGTGATCCCATCCCAGTGATCCCATCCCGATGATGTGATCCCAATGATGTGATCGC